GTGTTTGCTGTTTCTGTTGCTTCTGCCATTGCTTGCTGTAACATTTCAGCTTGGCGTTCTAACAATGCTTGAGAGTTGTCAGCAATTGCTTTGTTTGTTGTCATCAATAAATCCATGTTCTTATCTTGAACAGCTTTGATCCCTTCGAAGTCAAATTTAAATGCGTCTTGGATTTTTTGAGCAACCAATTTAGGATCGAATTGCTCAAAAGCTTTTGTAAAGTCAAATGGGTTAGTGGACATAATAAAGTGCCTTTTTGGATAGTTAATAAAATTTAGTTACGTGTTAACTTGCGATATATTTCTGCGCATTGATTTTTATGCTGCATCGCACAATAAGTTTAATATCGTGCTTTTCCCTCTCCAAGTCAAGCAACTAAACATTCATTAATTTCAGTGAACGTGAAAAAATGCTCAAAATGGCGCGTTTCGCAATGGAAATTCGTCTTATTTTATGCGCATATTTGATTGAAAATATACTTAAGCAATTGTTTATAATAATATTTATATACACAACAAGAGACGCAGACTATCTATATGTATCATTGAATATAACGATAGTGTATAAAATATTTTTCAATGAAACTGCTTAGAGCCTTTCTTTTAGCCACAAATCTGGATATGTTGTAAAAGTCAAAGCATTACTATATCCCCAAAGAACCCGTGCTTACTAGACAGTATAGAGTACCGCTCAGTGGGGAAGATCTGCAAAAGTGTTCTATTAATCCTACCATTTAGATGCAGGAGTCTATCCGAAAATAGATCATCAGAAACAAACTGCACCGTTCTATATTTAGGGGTTATAAAATACCCACCTACAAAAAATTAAAATAAATCAGGTTGTTAAATATGACTAATTAACAAAATCGACATAAACACTGTCATTCCTTTAGAGTTTAGAGTCCTATATTTTTTTACATTTTGGAGTTATAACACTAGGAGAATCCGAGAATGTCTGAAACGTCATACCAGTATCTGCGCGAGTTTTGCAGCACAAGACAATATCAATGCTGAGCAATTCAACAAAATGTATCAAACGTTCTAGTTAAGATGACCCAGATGGCATTCCTGGGCAGAGCAAGCTGATAGAGTATGTCTCTTGGTTTAAGCCGGTGGTGTAGTGTCTCTGATTGGAGTTATTGGATAGGAAGATTGCCGTCATTATTAAATTGGGTCATAAAAATGCCAAAGTCAACTGGTTCTTACAACTGTCTTCGATCGTCATTTAGAAAACGCGTGGCGACAAATCGTTATTATGCTGGAGGCGATAGCCCGGATGAGACGCGAAACAAATCACCTACACTGAGCTTCATGATGAAGTATCACGCTTTGCCAACGTATTAAAAGAACAAGGCGTACAGAAAGGCGATCGCGTATCACTGTACCTCCCCATGATTCCAGAAGCTGCGGTTGCGATGCTAGCGTGTACACGTATCGGAGCGGTTCATTCTATCGTCTTTGGTGGCTTCTCCCCAGAAGCATTAGCCAGTCGCATTAATGATTCTGATTGTAAGGTCGTGATAACATCGGATCAATCCATGCGGGGTGGTCGCAAAATTCCGTTGAAAATAAATGCCGATACGGCACTGAGAAATTGCCCCGGTGTCACCAGCTGTATTGTTGTGAAGCGTGGTGGTGAGCCAGTAGACTGGACGGAAGGCCGTGATATTTGGTATGGCGATGCCATTGCTGCCGCTAACCCAGTCTGTCCTCCTGAAGAAATGGATTCAGAAGATCCTTTGTTTATTCTTTATACATCAGGTTCCACAGGTACGCCAAAGGGTGTTTTACATTCAACCGGAGGATATCTAGTACAAGCGGCGATGACGCATGAAGCGGTTTTTGATTATAAAGACGGTGATATTTACTGGTGTACTGCGGACGTAGGCTGGGTAACAGGTCACACCTATATCGTCTATGGCCCCTTAACCAATGGCGCAACTACCCTTATGTTTGAAGGAATTCCCACATATCCTGATATCTCGCGTTTCTGGCAAGTGGTGGACAAACATCAAGTCAATATTTTCTATACAGCACCGACCGCCATTCGCTCGTTAATGGCGGCGGGTAATGAAGCTGTTGAAGCAACCTCTCGTGCATCCTTGAAGGTATTAGGGACAGTTGGCGAACCAATCAACCCCGAAGCGTGGGAGTGGTATCATAATGTCGTGGGTAATGGAAAATGCCCTATTGTTGATACTTGGTGGCAAACAGAAACAGGTGCGCATATGATGACACCTTTGCCAGGCGTTCATGCACTCAAACCTGGCTCAGCCACAGCGCCTTTTTTTGGTGTAAACCCCATTTTGCTTGATGATGAAGGCAATGTAATTCACGGCAATCCAGCGTCCGGGAACTTAGCAATTGATCGCCCTTGGCCATCAATGCTTCGCACAGTATTTGGTGATCATAAACGTTTTATGAAACCTACTTACTTTTGCAATGGTTTAAATGGCTATTGTTTCACTGGAGATTGGCGCACGTCGTGACCGAAGATGTGCCAGCTTACTGGGTTACGGGTCGTGTGGATGATGTCATTATGTATCAGCGTGCATCGTTTATGGACACGCTGAAATCGAAAGCAGGTATTGATTACATGAGAAAGTGCGCATGAAGGGCGCTGGGTGGTTGGTTATCCACAGATCTAACAGGTCAGAGGGTAGTCTAGGCTACGCTGACACTGATAGTACGGGATGGAGAAGTAGCGAAGATGATTAAACGCTGAATTGAGTGAAACTGGTTCGTAGAGAAATGGGCCAATGCTAGAAGGTTAATATTATCAATGGGCTCCCGGGACTTAGCTAAAACGACGCTCAGGTAAAATCATGCGTTCGCATCTTACGTAAAATCGGCTACAATGAAGTTAGACGCACTATGGTGACAGAACTCAACTTGTGCTGACCCGATCTGTGGTGATGTTTAATTGCGATCTGAAAACAAAATAGCACAGAATCCTTAGAGGGATGCTCACTTGTCTTCATTCATATAGGGCTGTATTACGAATAGGCCCTTAGTTTTAGACCTCAATAAAAAACCGCTCATGGCCTAAGTCGGAGTGGGTTTTTGCTTCTGTAAGTAACAGCAAAATATTTCTTAACGCACGGATGGTGATCTATAACGCGCCGTACGATCGATTATAACGCGGTCTGCCGATGACCCTTTGATTGACCAGAAATCAATAGCCAATGCCAGGGTTTATACGGCGTTAGATCACCTATAATAATCAGTATACTCAGGCAGTATGGCGAATGCTGTGTAGCCCCCCCTACATGATATGCTTAGACGAGCCAGAAAGCATGATTGAGGCACAATGGGTCACCTTGGTATTATTTGCTGAGTCTCGCATATGCCTTGTACTGGCGCTGACTGCCTCGTATTTTTTGCTGAACTTGACTCTATCTTTTCACCACCATGCCGCGCGCAATCATCCGCAACTATCCACTTACCACTGCGGCGCGTTCATCCGTTATGATTTGCGTCGATTTTTCCGATACCTCGGCCCACCAAGGAGCAATAACGCCTGTCGCCTGCAGTTGGTGGAGACACCCACTTGATAGATAAAGTCACTTGCACTCAGTCAGTTGCCCAACAAAGAAAAAGTAATGTTCATGACGACTCTCATCGTTTTTTATACGGCGATTGATTCACTTTACGGTTTACCAAAAAAGTAGAAATCAAGCTTATCGCTGTAGATTATTTACGTAGTGAAGCATCTATAAAGCTCTTTACACAACATTGAGCATTTACAGACGTTAACACCCTATTTAAGTCTAAATAGACCACCACTGAGAATTAGTTTGTCAAATTATCATGATGTAGGCCTATGAGCAAATAGCCACCTCTCGGTATATAGCAAATACACGTTAAGAGGGGGTTGATAGCATGAAAATACGGATTGCAGGAGCAGGAACATTTTAGGACGAGTATTAGCCTGCAACTCATTCAACAAGGCATGAGCATAAGCCATTTATTGGAAGCTGGACCCTGACGAGAGGGAAAATCGCCGCAGCCTGGACAGCAGCGGGCATGTTGGACCCCTAATACGGACTTAGGAAGCACCCGATGGATGTCTTGAGAAATGCTTTTACGGCTCTTTGACCAACAAGTAGCCCTAAAAGGTGATTGCTTCTTTACGGGTGGTTGTGGCACAATTCAAACCGCTGGTGGCTTGCTGGGTAGCTGGCCACATCGGAGAAGATAAAGGCTTCTATCACATTTTTATAGCCATATGCAACCACAATAAAGTGTTGGATTACAAACAAACATGGCTCATTGTGATCGCACAGACTTAATGGTGAACACGAGCGTATTTAGCGTGAACGATTTTACCAAGCACTGCTACCTTCTGAACGAGTGCTGGAATGATCCTGCTGAAGTGATGATGCGATCAAAACCAGTTTTATTAGAAGAGCCGTGATTATGGAACGATAGCCACACCTGCTAAACACTGTTCTGGCTGGAAGAACTAGTCACGCTGAAGGCAGAAACTTGCTTTTGATTGGGTGAGTTGATACACCGTGGCTTAGGGGCGCGAGAAGAGGGTGGCAGAAGTGTCGTGTATTCGCGGCGAGCATGTGTAGCTCTACAACTCCAGAAGGGAGATTGAAGGCTCTTCGTGCGCCTTATAGCACCCCGTTACGCTTATACCAGGTGTGACACGCCCGAACCATCATATGTAGGGGGGCCGACACAGATTGAATCCGATGACGGAGACCAATGAGCTACGATCTGCCTTGAACTATTGAGCGCGGGCATATAGTATCCACCCAGGGATTTGGCTGAGGCAGCGTGATTACTGAGCTGCGCACCTCAATTGTCGCCCTACTTAGCGGATCACCGCCCAGCGGTTATCGTGCCAGAAAAAGGTTTATCCGTGCCAATGGTTATTAGACATGGCATATGTGCTTGCACCAGAATTTCCCAATGGCTACAAAATGAAGTTACTAGCCCATGTTTAGATTGCCTCAGCTAAAGACACATTCATGGCTAAACTAGTCGAAAGACCATAGCGTCGGAAATAATGATACTGTTGATGTGACCCTTTAACGCAAAGCAAGAAGAAATTGCCAAGAAAGTATGAGTTATGGATAAAGCGAGTTGGCGCATTGCGGCCCTCGGCTGAAATGTTTGCAGTGGCCATCAATGGCTGAATTTATACCTCGCCACTGGAAATTGAAAAAACGTTCTGAAACACCAGGATCAGGGTAGAACTATTATCACGATTGTAGGAGGGTAATGATGTGGGAAAATTGCAGGTAAACACCTATAAGCCGTTATTTAGTGGCTTGCCTCTATGTTACCCTTCGCCCTGGAAGTCATGCCAACAAGCAGAATTGCCTCAGCTGCCGAAGTGATTACGGTATCATTGCGTCGCCAAACATCAATACGGTGATGGCAATGTCATTTTGGTCTCATATTAAAGACTTGAATATAAACCTGTTACCCAACACTGCGGGGTGTTTTACCGCGAAAGAAGCCATAACTACAGCGCAAATGGCGCGCGAAGTATTTGATACCAACTGGATTAAACTCGAAGTGATCGGTGATGAGTACACCTTGCAACCTGATCCATTTCAACTCTTAGAAGCCACACAAGAGCTAATTTCACAAGGCTTTGAGGTATTTCCATATTGCACTGATGATTTGGTTTTGTGTGATAAATTAGTTTCCGCTGGCTGCAATATCTTAATGCCCTGGGGCGCACCGATTGGTACCGGAAAAGGTTTAATGAACCCTTATGCTCTGCGTACCTTACGTACACGGTTTCCCAATATTAATATGCTGGTAGATGCAGGTTTAGGCGCACCGTCACACGCAACTCAGGCAATGGAATTAGGCTTTGATGGGGTATTGTTAAACACCGCCATAGCAGAAGCGCATGACCCTGTGCTGATGGCAGAAGGTTTTAAGTATGGCGTGAAAGCTGGACGTAAAGCATTCGTAGCAGGCGTGATACCAGAAAGAGATATGGCTCACGCTAGTACGCCAACCGTGGGAAAGCCCTTTTGGCATCATGAAGACAAGGGACTAGGGACTAGGGACTGAGAGGTTTAGCTACAAAAGATAGACCCAAAAAAAAGGGAAGCAAATAATATGCCTCCCTCTTTATATAAAAAGGTGCTTATTTTACTCTTG